GGGTGGATGGTTATAGTTAAATGAAGGAAAGGGGTAGTTCTGTCTCGACAATGGGACAATGCACGTCACTGGCAATATCGCTCGAGTAATGCATCAAGTCCTTGCTTGTGTGTTAGAAAGAGAGGGTATATGATGTGAGTGAGTCGGATTGATTGCAACAAAAAAAAAAGAAGAAATGTAAAAGAAAAAAAAATTATATATATGTATATATAAATATATATATATATATAAGATAGAAAAGAAGAAGAGTAGTGGGTTGAGAATGGTTGAGAGGAAAAGGGGAGTAAAGGTTGGGAATGGGGGTAGATGAGGGTAAAAAGGTAGGGGGGGGATGTTTCTTTCTATCTTTGGATAACATCGAGAATATATTGAACGAAAGGATTAGTTTTTGTTTGAATAGTTGATGATGTATTCACCATGTGACTGGTTATACAGAAATTAATTATGTTTTAAATTAAAGATTATTATTATTATTATTATTAATATATATTTAATTTACAATTAGTTTGAGATTGGGTGAAGTTTAAGGAATTTTAGAGAATTTTAGAGAAATTTTAGGGAAATTTTAGGAAATTAGTGTTCAGCAACTAATGTGAAATATTATTTTTTGTTCATCTTTGTTTTATTTTCTTTTTTAATATTATTTATTTATTTATTATTATATAATTATAATTATATAATAATATATTATATTTTTTATTATATATTTATTTTATTTTATTATTATTATTTTTTTTAATATTTAATAATTATTTTTGTTTTTAAATATATATATATAAATATATTTAATTAATTGTATGTTAATTCGATAGAATATATTTTCTTTAAACGATTTAATATAAAAAAAAAAAATATTAAAAAAAAAATACGAATTTTAAATAAAGTTTTGATTAAAGACGATATGAGATGAGATGAGATGACTTGGAGATGAGATGAGAAACTCGTTGAGATAAGAAAATGTTGCCTTGGATGTTCGACTTCTTGTTACTTTATTTTTATTTCTGTTTTTTTTTCTTCTTCTTCTTCTTCTTCTTCTTCTTTCCTTCCACCCCTTCAATCTTTTAATTTCTTTTTTTTTTCGTCTTATTTCTCATCTTGTCGATGGTTGTTACGACTGCATATATACATATATGCATGCATACATCTATACATACATGCGTATTCATACGTATGTGTCCATGGAAAGATGAAAATGAATGAAACATGGAAGAGAGGATTAAACAGAAAACAAAAAAAAAAGAAAAGAAAAGAATTGTTCAAAAATATTGATGGGAAGGAAGGAAAGCTTTGATATATTCTCTCTGATCGGCTTTAAAATGTACGTGTAAAAGCATGTGAGTGTACATGTATGTACATGTGTTGAATGCATAAATGTGAGAGTAAGGAGTAAAGAGTTAGCTCGTCAATGAAGAGAAGGATAGAAAGAAACAGACATACAGACAGACATACATACATACAGACAGACAGACAGACATACAGACAGACATACAGACAGACAGACAGACAGACAGGCAGACAGAGATAAAGGGATTCGCGTTTGAGTTAACGCAAAGAGAAAAGTTAATGGGGGATGGTTCGGGGGTGGGTTTAGGAATTTTCTTTGGGTGTGAGAAAGTGGAAGAAGAAAGAGAGATAGGAAAGGGGGTATACAAGAAGTGTTAGTTACATTGAAAAGGCTAGTATTAGAAAGAGAGAGTGAGAGAGACAGATAGAGAGAAAGAGATAGAATGCAAGTGAGACAGATAGAGTTGTTTTGTTGCATTCCTAACAAAAACACTATCCCGTTCGAACAATTTACACTTGTGAGTAAGAGGATATTCTTGTTAAACAATGGCTATTGTTAAATGGGAGAGTTTATAACGTTTATAAATTGGATGAAAATGACTTTTGATGGAATTCATTTTCTTGTTTTTTTTCTCTCTATTGGTTTATAATAGTTGAACTAAATGTTAGATAATTTGTCATATTATTAATTGTATTATATGAATGATTATTTTATTTATTGTATGGATGATTGTAGATATGTTTGATTTGTTTAATTACGTTTAATATTTTATTCTTGTGTTTTGTTCAATGAATTAGGGTGAGAAGGGGATGAACAAAAGTAAAGGTACACT